TACGTATATTATATATATATATATATATATATATATATATATATATATATATATATATACACATATATTTGTATAGCTTTTTATCATACATACTTTCGTAAAGACAACGACACGGCGTTCGAAATGACAAAGGGTAAGATGATATTGACGATGGTTGTTTTAAGCCAGGTCCTGCCTCGTCTCCTGGACAAGGTATACCTGGGAACCGGGCACAGTTGAAGTGGTAACAAAGCTGCGGTGTTTGGCGCGTATCAGGCTCAAGTTGCTCTCCGCCGTGTCGGCGCGATCTTCTGCGGCCTCGAGTTCTCTTTGGAATCGGCGAACCCTAGTGACACTTTGTTGGGACATGCCTTCCTGCTCCTGCAGCTGCCTCTTGTAGATGCTGACTTTCTGGCTGGCCTTGTCGAGCGATTCCTGCAGCAGGGTAATATTCTTCGCATCCTCTTCCACTTGAATCATTACCTCCTTAATGTTGCGCTCCTTCTTACGCAGTATCTTCACAGTCTCGGCGTGCCGGCGTTTTTCTTCATCCAGCTCGAGTTCCAGGTCGCGAATCTATATAATAGCGAGAATTATAAAAGCAAAAGAAAAGCAAAAATTAATACATGATTGATTATCAAGATGTAAATTAAATAAAAATTAAACTGTATTTAAAAATATTGTTCTATAAAAAAAAAAAGACATCGAAAATGTAAAATTGTAATATTCGAAATTATCAAAGTTTCATCTCTTTCCTCACCCTAGCTTCGAGCTTGCTAATGATGCGTTTGCCTCCAACAATAGCATTGGCCTCAACTTCTTCCAATCTCACGGACAAGTTCTTCACTTCAATCTCCAGCGATTTCTTGATAGCCTCTATCTTGACAATACGCTCCTGTTCTTCATGGAGGATCTCAACGGTGTGCTTGAGTTCATTCTGCACTCTCTGGTATCTCTCATCGCTAACTCTCAATTCCTTGGTGACCTCTTCGTAATCTCCAGCTAAAGTTGCCAGTTCTTGCTCTAGTTTAGCCTTTGATGAGGCGATATTTACGTTGATTGTAGTTAGCTCGTTGATGCGACTAACCGACTCTTCGTATTGTTGTTCGACAGTCCTCTTCGCACGAAGAGCCTTTTAACACAATTTTATGCTTTATACAGCTATTACATAACGCTTATATGAGTAATACAATATTTGTTCTTCGTATTTCTGCTTATGCGAAGGTTAAATTGAACTCTTCAAATATACATTGTATTCAATTCTTCTCACGTCAATCAAATGTAATGTATCAAAGTTCAACAAATGAATTTTTCTACTTACAGATTCGTAATTGCCGCGAACTTCCTCGAGCTCGGCCGTCAGTGATTGGAGACGGCGTTGACTGATGCCCAATTGATCCAAAGTCACTTGCAATTGGCGTTGTACTTCGTCATAATGAGCTTGCAATTCCTGAAAAACAAGATAATTTAACATGTATGACAGATGTTATTTCGGACGCATTGCCAAATGCAAGTGTCGATATTACGGTCAGAGTCAGAGCTTGCTTCTTAATGGTCTTTTGCAGATCAATATTATTCTTGTTGGCGACATCCAAGGACAATTCGAGCTCAGTGATTTGGATCTGAAGTTTCTTCTTTATACGCTGAACCTCAGTCTTCAGTTTCGTCTCGGCTTCTACCACACGGGCGTTCAGCTGCTCGATTTCAATACTGGTCTGTTTGCTATTAATTTCATATTGAATATAAATATCTTAAATATAGCTTTTTATTTTCTACAATTTGATAAATATTATTTAAACAATTAAAATTCTAATCATGACTATTCCTAGGAAATTTTTTAATAATTATATCTTTTATTGATTTTTTTATCAAGAATTTTTTTCTTATTTGTTATTAAATAGATTTACCTTATCCATCCTGGGATTTAATTTTCAGCTGGTTTTATATAGTCACTTAGGAAATATTAGAAAATATTAGAAATAACAACTTTTAATCATTTTTTTCCCGTTTCTGAAAATCAATACTAACTATATATATAATATTAAAAGAAAATAATATCATAAGACAAGGGACTTATAAAAATAAGAAGTTACAAAAACAATGAATTTTTTTAGACATATTCATATATCAATTATTAATATTTTTTATTTGGATTTTATGAATTCCTATCTTTTCAGAAATCAAAATATCTTTCTCTATAGTTTGATAACTTAATCATAACATAATCTTTATTTATTTACTATGTTTAAGATTATAATACTCGCATCCTCGACACCCGTAAAAAAGTTCCCGTCTCGCCCGATCTTGATACCTCTTATCTAGAAAATAATTGCTGGACTTCTGCTCGAATCCGCGCAGTTCCCTGCTGAGTGTGTCAAGTGGCTGCGTCAGTTTATCCTCATCGATTAGAGCCTTAGTCCTTTCGTTCATCAATCTGCCGTGTGCCTTGTCATCCCAAAGAGAATGCACAGTCTCCCTTTGGAATTTCCGGATATCAGCCAATTCCTGGCTCTTGGACAGATTCTTCAGCGCTTCTGCTCTCAGATGGAATTCTATCGCTTTCGCAGATTTTCCACACAGACTTTTACCATGTTTCAGCGCGTCACTCACATCGGTCATCATCTGGACGTCTTTCAACGCCTGCAGTTTAATATCGCTCATCGCCTCTCGCTGGATCTCCTTGACCTCGCTGCGGGCGCGAGTGCTGGCGAACATCAACGGCATGGATAGTCTTCTCAGATCCTTTCCGGTACGCGGTAAGATCTCCTTGGTCACGCGACTGGCCTCCACGGTCTTGGCCAGGCTGAAGTCCGAGCGATTTGCTATCTTCGGATCACGTCAGATAGACAGATGGTCAGCGACGAGTTTTTTGTCGTACTTCGACGTACCGCTCGTGTTTTTCTACGCGAACGTCTAACGGGCGCCACCGTTTTCCATCGTGCACGCGCACTTGCGCGACGTGATCACCTAAACTTAGCCGCAGCGGTCCAGAATGCGAAAGTAATCGCGCCACTCACAACCGACTCTCTCGAGAGATTCAAGAACGACTGCCAATGCACCGCGAACATCTAGGTATCCCTTTTGTCCGGGGACATGAGATGAAATTTTGTACTGTACGATTTGGCAAACTGTTCCGTTCTAAGCAGAACTGTGAGGAATAGTCCCAATAATAGAGTACCAAGGGACCATTCGGCAGCGATATTTTTGTTAGTGGCACAATTACTTTTCATAAATTGCTAATAGAAATGCTTTCACGGCAAATTGTTTGGAAAAGTTATTCAAAAATTATATTTTATTTAATTATGTTTTAAAAAAGATATCTTCAATATTACAAATATTAATAAAGACAAAATTATTTTAGATTGTATAATGTAAGTCATTTTTATGTAGCATTGTATTAAAAATTCCTTAAGAAAGCATATTTGAGTGTGTATATATATATATATAAAGCAAATACTATTTTTTAAATTTAATTAGTATTATTTTTAAAATTTAATTAGTATTATTACATTTAATACTTATATATTATATATATATATATATATATATATATATATATATATATATATATATATATATATATATATATATATATATATTA